GACACATGGGACGCTCAAACACATTGAGGGTGTATGAGACTATCAGCCCCCGCCCCCCTCAGCTGTCGATGTGTCGTGGTCCCCCCGCCCAAAACTGCACGGGGTCAGAGTACGGGGCCGTGGGAAAGTCGTAATTCCTTGCTACACCGCCCTCACGTTTATGCTAACACCATCCGCGCGGCGCGGTCGCGTGCAGCTCTCTTGGCTTTTTGCCAAGTCCTGTAATTGCGCTTTGGAATACAAGTACAACGCAATTTCTTTATGCGGATAACATTTTAGGTGCTGCAAAATAAGAACCGAAGATGATGACGAGGGCTAGAACTCAAGAGCAACTGTGGTGCTTCTGCAATATCCCTCACAAGGGAATGGTTTGAACTTCCCATGGAACTTTGAATGGAGACCTAGGTACATCGATAGAGCCTCGAATGCTGATTACGAATATGCAGATTAAAAGTGCTACGGGGACCTCCCAGACGAGATCTGGGTGGTCAAAGTTTGAGTTCTGGCTCGTAAGCGCTGCTGATCGATGCCTCGGCAGTGCCACCGTGGGTAATGGTCTCGCTTTCAAGTCAAACGCATGCGGGTTTGCATCCGGTTGGCGCGAAAATTTTTGCTTCGCTCCGTATAAGAGCTTCAACTCTAATTTTCGAAATTCTTCCGAATTTACGGCCCAGCAGGGCAAGTAGATCAAGTACATCAAGTATACGACGTACTCGATCTAGTATGGATTTGGTCATATCTGCCCTCTGAACATATTACCCATCCGACAATTCAAAGTTTTAGCGAGAAATTCGTTCATGGGAGATTTCGACCCCCTGAACACGAATATCACATCCTTCGACGAAAAAACGCTCGTCTGGCCAAATTGCGATTCTTGGCAAAACTTTGAATTGTCGGATGGGTAACCTGTTCAGAGAGGGCAGATATGGTACGTCGTATACTTGATGCACTTGCTCTACTTGCCCTGTGAGCCGTAAATGCGGAAGAATTCTGAAAATTAGAGTTGAAGCTCTTAGACGGAGCGAAGCAAAAATTTTCGCACCGGATGCAAACCCGCATGCGTTTGACTTGGAAGCGAGACGCATACCACGAGGCCACGTGTGCACTGCGGAGGCATCGATTCAGCAGGCTTACGAGCCAGAACTCAAACTTTGACCACCCAGATCTCGTCTGGGAGGTCCCCGTAGCACTTTTAATCTGCATATTCGTAATCAGCATTCGAGGCTCTTCGATGTACCTAGGTCTCCATTCAAAGTTCCATGGGAAGTTCAAACCATTCCCTTGTCAGAGGCCGCGCATTCCCACAGAACATGACAATAAAAACGGACAACATGACAATAAAACATGACAATCAGAGAGCACAGCATTCGATGGGGATTTTGGTCGAGGAGCTTTTTGACCCCCTCCCCCACCATGCTCGTACGATGTACGTCGCATGCTTACTACATACCCCCCCCCCCCGACCCCGTGAACGACACTGGATTGGCTGACTGTGGTTGTGGTTTATACTCGGCGAAAAAGTTGGTCGAGTGAAGGGTATGTAGTAAGCATGCGACGTACATCCTACGGGCGTACATAGTACCTATAACACAGAAAATTCATAAAACTCATGAAGTGAACCACGTAACTCCTAGACAGAAATACGACCCCCCTCCCAACAATGAGCAATACGACCCTTAAAGGGTTGGGGGGGTGGGGGGGGGTCCATGAAGCGAGAAAACCCAACTATCCAGCATAATTTGTTCCCAGCCAAATACGAGCCCTCCTTTCGGGGCCTATTACGACCCCCCCCCCATGGGAATCCTCATTCGAAACGGCTGTGCCCTATGAACAATACAAGCAGAAGCAATTTCTAACATATGAGTTATGCTCATGGCTTGCAAAGTGAAACGAAGAGGAGGTGATGAAGATGACAAAGGCTAGAAATGAACAACGAATGTAGATGTAAATAAAACAAAATTGAAAAAACTAAGGAAACGCAAATTAATTAAAATCGCGTGTGCATTTCTGCGATCCGGCTCGAATCCGGCTCTAATGCTATAGAAATACTTCAAACTAACGAGTGGGACGCTTAGGCCGTTTTATTTTGATGTTTTGTGGGAATGCGCGGCCTGCGAGGGCTGTTGCAGAAGCAGCACAGTTGCTCTTGAGTTCTAGCCCTCGTCATCATCTTCAGTTCTTATTTTGCAGAACCTAAAATGTTATCCGCATAAAGAAATTGCGTTGTACTTGTATTCCAAAGCGCAATTACAGGACTTGGCAAAAAGCCAAGAGAGCTGCACGCGACCGCGCCGCGCGGACGGTGTTAGTAAAAACGTGAGTTTGCAAAAACGGGCGGCGTAGCAAGGAATTACGGCTACGCCCGTACTCTGACGGCCCGCTCAGCTTTTGGCTATGGGACCACGACACATCGACAGCTGGAGGCCTGAAATGTCTCAACACCTCATGTTTCTGAGCGTCCATGTTTGTCTTTTAAGCCGTCTGTTAATCGCCGGAAAATTCTTCGGAAAAGTTATAGGAAGTTGGGAAAACTCAGGGAGAAGATGGCTCACACAGGGAATGGGTGGTGCTGAGGAAGAAATTCTAATGGGATAGAAATTCTCACACAGCCATTTTTCCCGTCCTGATGCTGCACCCTGGGTCTAAGGATTATAAGAGCACTGCGATCACTCACTGAATCACCGAAGTCGTGACATGTGAACGCGGTCCATTACATACGGCTGGAAATTAGGCGGTTACATTAGAAGAAGCTTTTTCGTAGTGTGAATGTCGTTATTCATTTTTTTCTATGCAGACTACCGAAACACCCCAATCGCCAACAACGGCGATGCCCACAGCTGCTACAGCGGCAGTGACGACTACACCATACGCACCAGTCGTGGTAAACCCGCAGCTAGGTAAACGTCACCAGCAATCCAAACTCGTCTTTTTCCTTGACTATTTCCCTATTTTAGATATTCCCACAGAATCACTTCGTAAAGCTCTGAGAAGCGAGATTAGGAAATTCGTCTCTAAAGAACTGAAACAGAAGGTGAGAGTAATTTCCGCTTCTGCTCTCTGTTTTTTTTTTCAAATTTATCTCAAATGGAAGATGCTTCAGCTCTTGAAAGCGACTTTAATCAAGCGATACCATCTGATTAGGCAGGCGGGGCGTGAGCTGTAGAGCACCACGTAGCAAATGGGCCTGTCTGTCTGTCTCTCTGTCGCGATCCTAGGAATCGAATCCCGTGAGCTTTGCGCTGCAATTAAGGGATCCTGGATGTTCAATTCACAAGTAATGAAAAGAAGAGAAAAACCGCTGAAGTCGCCTCAAGTAAGACCACAAGGCCAGAAGTCTAGTCGAAGATGCTGCACAGAGCTGTGGACATGATAGTTGCTGAATTCATCTTCTCAGAACAGCATGCTACCAGCTTTTCTGAAACTTTTTGGGCTGAAAGGCCTGGTCAGCTGGAGTAGATCTGATACTCGAAATCCCTGAGATCGGGTAGGCGTGGCTGCGTACTTGATTTCAAAATGGCGGCGGCCCAGGTTTTCGTGAGATATTGTCATTTTGGAGCAGTCGTAATCATGTCTACATCTAACACAGAACAAGATAGCAGTTGTTTCAAATTGAAGTATCCCACGAGAAACCCGTCCTATGCCATGCTCGCCACGCCTACTCCGTCTCAGGAGATGCGCAGTGTATCTCGATGACACCTTAATGTCTTTCCTGTATTTCACTCATCCTCGAGGTATTCTAGGCTGCTCGAGCTTATGGAATCAAAACCATCAATGGAGATGATCCCGTGGGTGGACGCGATTCGGAAACTTCCGCTAAAAGACCACATCATCCAGACGACATTTCATTAGAGGTACTGGCTGACTCTCAACGGAGTTCTTGCAACTACTACGTTTTCATTTGTTTCGTAGTTTTGTTATCAACGTTCCTGGCAGAAGGCCAAAAAAGGCATTATTACAGCTTTCCGATTCGCACAACATTTGCCAGGAGAATGAACGTGTGGTGATGGTGAACTTCCCAGAATCGACGCGAAAACCATATACGGCAGCTACGGAAACGGTGAAAGCCCGTGATCACCGGCAGTGCCTCGAACAGTGCGAGAGTAACCCTGATTGGTAAGTGGCACTGGGATCACGGCATATCATCCTTTTGTAGAAAAACCCTCCTAATTGGTGGCAGAAGCTACCTCGATAGTTCATCGAGGTGTCTACCCCTCCCCGATATCCGAATTTTCAAAAAAAACCGAATATGAAGAAAACCATTTGGGTTAAGGTGGTATGTATAGCTGATATCGTTGCAATCCGGCGGGGAGGGGGTCATGTCTGGTCGCTAGACGGAACGGGGTAATACTTTGAAAATCTTTTTGACAGATGATTTTTACTGTTTGCGG